TAATAATCATACATAAGAAAAAAAGAAGAAAAAGTAGACTTAGAAGTTTGTTCTTTCCTGCACGATCCTACTTGTCATCTGGGGATAGAGTCAATGATTTCTTATCCTGGAGTTGCACAAAAAAACATCGTAGTAAGAAACTGGAACTAGTCAGGAAACTTCCTCGTGACATTTGTCACAAGGCAAGATGATCATATGGCTAATAACACACATGACAGCAATTTCATACAACAAAATTTAGGATTGAAATTTAAAGACACTATATTCAATATTAACCAAGTACACCATCAACATGCAAAAAACTATTAGAGCATAACTTTTTTTTTGTCATCTGGTGTTTTATTAAAGGTCTAAATCCAAAAGGACAAAGTCCAAAACTAGTATCATACAAAGCATAAAAACCCAAAATAAAAAAGACATTAAACTTAACTAGGCCTTAAGCCCACACATGAAACAAAGAGGGACATACCAGCCCAAACCACCACGTGAACATTCATCACCGTCACGACCGGAAGGCACAAGCTTCCTCCGGAGAGAGCATGCTCGCCGGATTTCCGCCATTAGCGAAGCCAAACTGGAGATGAAGGAGTGAATCCGAAGCTCCGATCTTCCAACAAGTAAAAGCAGATATTTTTAATGACAAGAGTGAACTACTCCCGGAAAACTAAGAAACGAAGAAATCAAAACACACTACATCTTACAGACTATTGAAGGCTCCTCAACACCTAAGAAATACACACTTAACACAACTGAGACAAAGAAGAAACAGAAAAAAAAACATGGAAACCAGATCTTAAAAGAACCACACTGAGACAATTCACAAACAAGAAAGCACAGCTCCGACGCTATGGAAGCCGCCGGAGCTGCAGATTTGAAAATTTGAAAGTTCTCGGTAAGAGAGAAGGGAGAGTGTATTTGGATAAGAAGAGAGAGGTTTTTTATTGATAGGGGGTTTTCAGCTTGTTTTTTTTTTGTCCCCCTTTTTTTTTTAATAAGAAAGAGTATTTATATGTTAAGTCATTTTTTAGTTACGTTAAAATTCTTTGGTTTAATTTTGGTTTGGTTAAATTATTTTGGTTACAACTTTAGGTTAGGTAGACTTCCAAAGAAGTCTACGATAATATTTTTTTATTGTTTAAATAGTTTATAATATATAATCTAAAATTTTTCTTTTCATTATATATTTAGTAGACTTAGTATATTTTTTTTTTGATAAAATTTTAATTCACATTTGAATTCACAAATAAATTTAATTTTAAATTTTTTTTTTTTTGTAATCACCAATTATAGTAGACTAAAAGAGACGTCTACTATCGAAGTAGAGTTTACCTTAAGTATTGGCGCCAATAGGAAAAAATAGGCTCCAAAATTCATTTTCGCTTTCCGCTTAGTTAATTTTAATTTTAAAATATTTTTTTTTAATAAACACCAATTAATATAGACTGAAATAGACGTCTACATATAAACAGACTTCACTGTAAGTCTACTATACCCTAAATATTGGCGCCAATATGGAAAAATAGGCTCCAAAATTCATTTTCACTTTACGCTTAGTTAATTTTAGTTTTAAAATAATTTATTTTGGTAAACACAAATTAACGTAGACTGAAATAAACGTCTACATATAAGTAGACTTAACTGTAACTCTACTATACCCTAAACCATAAATCTCAAACCCTAAACCCCAAACCTCAAACCGTAAACGTTTGATTGATTATAAAAAAAAATCTTAGTCATTGTACCAAATATCATATATACAAAATATAAACTACTCAACATTAAATATGCAATTTTGAATCATTAAAACAAAATAATTCTAAATAAAGAATCTAGCCTAAGAATCTAACTCTAAAAGACATAACATGTTAGAACCTTTGGTTGCTAAACCATTAACATTGTCTACCACATAGTTCCCAAATCAATATACCTTCTTTTAAATTGTTCAATTATATGAAAATTTAATTTATATACCTCATACTAACCTTTAAATTGATGATTTATTAAAAAAATTACCAAAAACATTTTTTCTATATTTTTCAAATTAAATTATTTGATTAAATTAACATGTAGACTAAATAATAAGTCTACAATAGTCTACATTAGTCTACATAATAGATGTTAATGTAAGTCTACCTAGTTGTAGACTTCTTTTTTAAAGTGTAGACCTCTGAAGGACATAATCGTAAAATATATTCCACGTTTTTTGTTTGTTCATAAGAGTTAAATAATAGTTTTAAGACTTATTTATATTAGGCTTGCAATTGATTGAATATAGGATACACCTTTAGGATTAAAATAAATATTTGGGTTGGTTTTGGCAATTCCCCATTTTTTATTAGGTATTTTTTATTTTGTGAAATGATATAGAATTAGTTGTATCGTAAAAAGGCGCGGACGGTAGAATTAGCTATACAGAACCGTAACTTGTGGTGTTAAAGTCACTCGTCAGTTTTAACTTATAAAAAAGTGGGTTCCGATTATTTAGGAATTTATAATGAAAGTTACTCAAATATAAGCCAAGTGGGTTCCAATTATTTAGGAGTTTATAATTAAAGTTACTCAAATATAAGCCAAGCGTACAAACTCAAAGTAGTTATTATTATTATATAACAAAATAAATATATTTAAAAATAGGTCATCAAATAGTTGGATCAAACCTTTATTAACTGGTCATGTTCGTATTGATTAGATTTTGATATGCGCTTTCAAAGCGTGGGACTAGTTTCGAACAAAACATTTTTTATGATATAAATTTGCATATTTGAATATGTATCTACATTAAAATGTTACATATGATCATTATATTCAGTGTTTTGAAACACGATCCGGATCCGTGGTTAAACCAACAGAATCGATAATGTTATATGGAACCAGTTTGATTTTTTTAAAGAGCTCATTATTTAAAATTCTATAAAACCCACAAAAAACTCCGCTAAAACCTAGGACTCGGCTACCGGTTCAAAACGCATGATTATCTTTGAAACAAATCAAATTTATATGATATAAATTTGTATTTTTGATTATGTATATACATTTAAATGTTACACATGAAGCGTTATATTAAGTGTTCTGAAACCCGACCCGGACCCTTGGTTAAACCGATAAAACCGATGACTTTATATGTAACCCGGTTTGTTTGTTTTAAAAGCTGATTATTTTAAAATTATATAAAACCCGTAAAAATCTCGCTAAAACCTGAGACCCGGCTACGGTTCAAAGTGCAGGATTATTTCCAAAACAAACCAAATTTATATGATATAAATTTGTATTTTTGATTATGTATTTACATTTAAATGTTAAATATGAAGCGTTATATTTAGTGTTCTGAAACTCAATCCAGACCCGTAGTTAAACCGATAAAACTGATGATTTTATATGTAATCCGGTTTGGTTTTATAATAAAAAAATTCATCATTCAAAAATTCTATAAACTCGCAAAAAACCGCTAAAATCTGAAAATAATTTGTTAAGTTACATTATATTTATTACTTGGTGTAGTAATTTAATTATGAATATAAATTATGTATATAAATTTATTTCTTATTATATAAATGAAAAATAAATTAGTATTCGTTTTTAACTATAGTTAATATTAATTATGAATTTTTTATTTAAACATAAATATTAAATAGATATGTATATTTAAATTTTAAATAAATGATATTACAATATATTATTAAAATCTAATCTTAGGAAAAGATACTTAAGAATATCTTTTAGATATCTTATTTTAAAAATATTAAAATAATTGGTTAAGCATAATATACATTTAAATGATAATTAAGTTAGTTATAGGAGAATACAAAAGAAAAAATAGTCCAACATAGAATACTTACAAATAAATAAAATATGTTTCTATTTTTATAGTATTGATTTGTCCACGTGTGCACGTCTTCCAGACCTTTTCTCAATTACTAAACTGTGAAGTAGAAGTCCAAAACCCTTCCACCAAATATATGTTATGTAAGCCCGAGGAGGCTTGTTGCTTAGTATTTTCTGGTGGTTGCCTGACTATAGAAATTGTTGCATTTGTCAAGAACCAAATTTGACATAATTTATCATTTTTAGTTTTCAAATATACTAAGTTATCTGTAGATGATAATTTTTATTAATTTCTGGATTTAATAATAGTTTTTCTTCAAAAAATAATCTATATTGTAATAGACACTTGAGATTGAGAAAATGTTGGGATTAGATGGTGTGGCCGATAAAATCCATACTTTTTTTTAATACTGGTTAATTATATTTATAAATTATGAGAAATATTACATAGACGATATTATAGCCGACAATTATACATGTCTTATCTGGATTCATGTTTGACTGCATTATCCTGAGCCGTTCTATGAGATATATTCTTGACGGTACGTCTTGCACTATGATGAAGCTCTTGTAAGCCTTTTCTCCAATCTACATAATTCACTATTCACCTTCTCCGAAAATTTAACCCTCTTAGTATAAAAACTGCATAGTTTGGGATTCGAACCCCTAACTTGATGTAGAAGATTACTTATAATGTTGATGAACATTCAAAAATAGTATGAGTGACAGATAAAAATACTAATGTCGGAGATGATTGGCAAATGCTTTAGAAGTATAGTAGAATCTTTTTCTAGTCCAAATTATTTCTAAAGTATAAATGTTTTTCAATTATGTTTTATAATTATTTTTTTTAACTACAGATTTTTCTTTTTCTTGGCTCTAGAAATCAATATATCTAGAACATTTATTTTTTGTTTTAAAAAATTTATATGTAAGTCAATAAATATTTTTAACGTACAGCCACAATCATACAGTAAAATTAGTTACAGCCACATGAAAAAAAAATCTACAGTCCTAATTTTACAGCAAAAAAAATATTAAACTATAGTCATTTCCAATCAATTCTTACTGCCCTTTCCAATCAACCCCATAATTTCAATAGAATAGATAATCTCATCTATATATGTTAACCCATTCTTTAGAATAAATTAAGATCCTAATTTATACATGTAGAAAAAGGATTTGACAGTTTTATCTGCACAAGCTAAAAGATAGTTATGGATTCAACATAATGTGTCTTTCTTATACAATATAAATACCAACTCTATGGCCATACTATATTTACTATACACATCTCTTGTGCAAACACTACTAGATCAAGCACCATATCGTAACAATGCTCTATTGCTTATACATGAAGAACTGTCAGTACCAGTCACAGCAGAAGCAGCAGCGGCAGGGAAACGCCACAACGGCCAACAACAAGCATACCTAACCTTCCTGCGTCTGCGTTCTGAAGATTCTGCTTCTTCCAGTTGGCGGTATTGATGTTCAATGCGGTTGAGAAGTTCAGCTATTCTTCTCTCAGACAATCGCAGCGATCTCTCAGCTGCTTCTTCTGCTGTCATTGCGGCTTTAGCCAATTCTTCTTTCAGTTTTAGTTTCCCTTCTGATATTAATAATGCTGATCTCAACTTCTCAACCTCAGCCTTCAAAACCTCTATCTGAATTGTAAGAGACTAGCTGTTGTTAGTTAGTTATGCTTGTCTGTTTCTGACAAGCTTCCATGTAGTAGTGAATTAAACTTACGAGTTCATTGCATTCTTCGACTTCGCGCTGTCCTGCTTCAACTTCAAGCTCACAAGCTTCTCTCCATCTACTTGCTTCTGATTCAGCTTCTCTTATTGCCTTTAATAGCTCTTCCACCTTTGATTTTAATTTAAAAAAAAAAAACGAATCACTGAAGTAAGAGATTTACTACACAACTGAGAAAACAGGATGTGGAAGTAAAACAATACGTTTTGAGATAGAAGTCTCTCTCGGTTTTGCAGCTTGTCGATATTCATCTTGTTCTCTTCAATTGTCTGAGCTTGTTCCTCTGTAATTTTCTTCAACCGTGCTTCTTCTAACCTGTAGTATCAAGAAGATGACATGTTTTCTTCTTATCATTTTCATCAAGAACCAAGCTTACACATAATCCATCATCATCTAGGTGTTGAGTTTTAAGAAGAAGAAGAAGAATAAAAGCTAGCCTTGATTCCTGCAATGAGAGCTTGAGCTGAGAGATCTCTTTCCGTAGATTCTTCATTGTTTTCTCTATTGCTACCACCTGTTATAAACAATAGTTTCCATTATAACCTAAACCTTTTTTTTTTATTCTTGTTGCCAAAGAAATGACATACCATACTATCCTCATCATCTTCCTCTTCTTCTTGCTCATCCTTGATGAGATTTCCTGTTTCTGAGCTTTCCTGTACTGTCTCCCTAAACCCAAAACCAAACCCTATGCTTTGTAATCCTCGTCCTGCGATTTGCAGCAACGATGATCTCTTCTGCTCATTCATCTCTTTCAACTGCTTCTCTACAGCTTGTTTCTCAGACAAAGCAGCCCTTAACAAGACCTTCAAGTCTCTGTTCTCATCTTGCAAGAACTCCACACGTGTACTTGCCTCCGTCTTTTCCTTCTCCAACGATTCCATGCGTCTCTCTACCTTCGTTTCGATCTTGTTGATTACCTCCAAAATTCTCTAGTAGTGAGGACGCAAAGTATGTATGTCTGATAAGACTTTGAATTTTAACAAATACCTAACAGTCAATGGAGTCAATTTATCTTGCTAGTAGGTGTAAGTGTGAATATGCAAAACTGGGAAACTGTTAGGTAGACTTTGAGATAAGCACCAAGAGAGAATGACTGGTAAAAAACATGTTTAAACCACTAAACACTAAGTAAACTTTCATTTCGAAATATAAACTGGTGATATATGTATATTATATGTGGGCTTTATATATATCTCCATACTTTACAAAGTGACAATCTAAAAAGAATTGCGAGTTTGAGGCATAAGTAAATGTAATCACCATTGGTTATGCCAATCTTGGATAGCTAGATGAAGAGCGTGATTAGGTATGAGATTGCAATCTTCCATCTTCAGGTTTGTCATCGGCGAAGTATCATGCCCATTCGCTAACCATTCCCTTATCGCTTCTGCTTCGTACGTGAATCCATCTGCTGCTATCAAAGGATCTTTCATCACTTCCTGGTTTTTTTTCACGACAACAAACAAATATATTAAGTTTTTGTCCTAATCCTCTGATCATCAAAACTCTGTTTAGGCCACTAAAATCTCAGAAACGTACCTGAAAAATGGGGCATAGGTAATGAGAAGGAGGCTTGCGTGGAGCTTTTTGGTTGGAATTGTTAGACGATGTTTCTGATAAAGGAGCTTTCATGCGATCTATATTCCTTAGAACAATGGCTAAGTCTGGTCGGTTCAATGGGTTTCTCTTACAGCAACGGATAGCTATATTAGCTAGCTTCTTGCCTCGTGCAATTGGCCAATCTCCTCCTGAGTTATCCAGAACAGCGCTGATGTTATCATTCTCCATGGCGCATTTGACATCTCTCAGTACGCCAGAGAGAGGTCTTCTGGTGAGAAGCTGAAGGAGAATCATTCCAAACGAGTATACGTCTGATTCCAGCGTCATTTCGTCGGAAACAAAGTAATGTGGATCTATGTAAAGATCAGATTTGTCAACTTCATCGATTGGGATCAGCTGAGAGATCCCGTAGTCGCTTATCTTGGTGACGAGGTTGGAGTCGAGGAGAATCTTGGACGGTTTTAGGTTTCCATGAATGATGCAAGGAATGTTTGAGTGAAGAAACAGGAGTGCAGAGCATATCTCAGAAGCAATCCTGATCCTAGATTCCCATGGAAGAGCAGGAACATTGTTTGCAGACGAGAAGCAGTCTTCGAGGCTTCCGTTGGGAATGTACTGATAAACAAGAGACCGAGACTCTGGACAAGTACCCATTATTGTTACCAGATGTGGATGCCTTACCCTGCTTAAAATCTCCATCTGGATCACAAAAGAACAATCAGAACATGCTAAAAAAGAAAACTACAATGATGATGATAAGGTCCTTTACCCGACGCTCGAACTCAAAGTGATTCTGGGAGCCATATGATGGCAACATCTTTACAGCAACTTGAAGATGTTGAAGATTCCCTTTGTATAAACTTCCGTATTTGCCTTCTCCAAGCTTCCAGGAAGGATCGAATTCGTTAGTAGCTTCATTGATTTCCATGAAAGAATAATCGAGCATTTCTGACCCGGAAGACTCTACAGACTTTCCTTTTATCAATCTCTTCAGTGCGCTTACTTCCTTTATCGCATTCTCATGATCGATACGAATCTCATCCCTTTTCTGCCTGAAGCTTTTCAAGAGCTCCATAGCAGTATCAAATTTCTCACCGTGTTCTTTTTCCAAGTCTTGTAGTTTCGTTATCTTGCTCTCCAACCTAAGATTATCACCCTGAACTATCTGAAGCTTTTTCATGAATCCATTGTTCTGCTCTATTACTGTCTTTACTTCACCCTTTTCTTTCTCTAGCAATTCCTCTAATTTCTTTCTTCGACTCAACTCCTTGGTGCATAAGCCGTCTAAGGCCTTCGCCTGTGAGATGTTATGAGAAAAAGAGAAGTTAGACCGAGAGTAGAATCTCCAGTACTGGTATCAACAATTCAAGTATAGATCTTGACCACAAAATGTATAACGCTCTCCTTAAGAATCTACACTAATTTGTTTTGATCAGCTGAAGAAGTTCAGTACCTAGTGCTAGCAACATGCATCTCCAGTGAAATATTTCTTTGTGGTAACAAGATGTACTAATACAACTAGCAGAAATGGATAGACAATATCACTTTGAAAACTATCGTCTCCATTTTTTTTTGATAACTAAGAAATGAATTGGACCTATTACCTTGCATAAAGCCTCCATGGTACTGTCATCCTCTTTCCATCCGTTCCGAGCTTCTCCATATACAGTTCTCTCTGATTGGCTGATATCATGCATGGCCTTATCATACCTATGAACTTCTCTCGCTACATTTCCTTCACGTTTCTTCTCCTGAAATTAAACAGAATCATCTGATTACCAGGCAGTTAATTGCTACTAAAAAGTTACAGCATCATGTTAACTTCAGGTAGAGCTTTCAATATATTTGCAAAGACAAAACTACTCTCATATATCGTTTATAAAAAGTCACATTTTTACACATCTCTATATCAACAACCTGAAGACAAACTGGCCCGGCGGCAAAATAATATCTCTTCACGCAAAAGAAGTACTAAATGGAATTATCTTTACTGCTGACCAATATGATACTAGCAGTATCATCAGTATGAAAGATGAAGGTAAAGATGAAGTGGCTCTTCATACCTCGACATTTGAAGTAGTTAAGGTATCCAAGCCAGCTAACTCTGGGCCATCCGGATCTGGACCAACCGGCTCTCCGAAGGAAGAACCAGAACCTGAAGAAAGATGAGGAGTTGGTCGTGGTTCCACCTTTTCTCTCTCCAGTTGTCCTGCGTCTTTCTCACCATCTGCACAATTCTGTAACCAGTTTACCATATAGAGACAACTACAGCTGATAGCAAAGGATATCATATGCAGAGGGGCCTTGCAAAATCCAACGTCAACCGGTACCTTGTTCAAGGAGGCTACGCCAATATCTTAATCTTCTTCTCATGTACGAGGTTTCCAGTTTTTCTGATCTCCTTGTCTCAGTATCTGAATCCAGCTGTACTAGGGGAGGCATTGTTTGTGTGTTACTAGTATCGTCATTTGTTGCCCTGTTTTTAAGAGTGTTTCTTTTAGCATATGAATAAAGGTAGAAAACAAACAAGGATATTTGCAGTTACTGAAGGTGGTAGGCTAGTTTTTTTTTTTTAGCACAAAGTGGTAGGCTACTTAAACTCGAGAACCAAAGTACCATGGCGTAACATATTATATAGAAGTTTATACAGATGTATCCAAATAGCTTAGCTTGCGAAAGACGACGACTTAAGATATCCCATCTACTGATTCTACAACCTTTGAAAGGATAAAGCGTTTTACCTTGTAAAGATGAGGTAACCTTTGCACAGAAACCAAATATGGCATGAATCAGGAGCTTTTTTGCAAACGAATATGGCTTTCTTGGACTTCAGATCCGTCATTCTCCTAGTATTTCAAATTTAAATAGATAATGTGAATGTCAGAGTTCAGATGAAAAACATTTAAAACATAAAAGATCAGATAACCATATCTTACCATGAGTAATGCTTATCTGATGCAGCTCCCATTACGAGCCACTTAATATTGTGTCGAGCAATTAGGTCCACAATACCTTCCTCAATATTTTGTCCCGCGATGCAAAGTTTATCTGTTTGAATCTAAAAAAGAATTATGTCATTTCATTAGTTTAGCATATTAAATGGCCTTGACCAGGACTGCCCAAAATAAAAGTAAGCTCTACATTTATGAGGACCGAAGCTACAGGGCACAAGGCTTTTCCCGTTTAGGTTATATCTCATATCACAATTATATCTACCAAGCTCACATGAATATTCAACGTGCGTGGCTTTATTTCAATTAAACTTGAACACCAATAGACAATACACGCAAAAAAAAAGAGAGAATAAAAACCTCAGATTTAGATAAAAGTCGTAGATAAGAATCCATGAGCTCATCCACTTTTTGTTTATCAACACGCTCAATCACCTTGACAGCATGTTTCTTAAAGTTACCCCCAGCAAGTTTCTTTTGCGCTGCAGGTAAACAAAAATAATCTCAGACTGGTAAAAGGATAACCTAAAGTCATCATTCTCCAGGCTTCCACATAGAGAATATAGATTTTACAGTTCACAGACTTGCAAACCAACAGAGTCTTGCAATCTTATTACACTATAACCAAATTACTGTCAGTAATCAAGCCTGTATTGTCCATTTCAATTTGAGACAGAAAACCTTGATTACTTTACTTTGTTCATCTTCTTACAAACTCTTAAATGACTAACAATGAAAATGTGTTGTTATGGTTTCTCTTCCTCTTCTTTAGAAAGTAAAACTATTTCTCTAATTTTCTTACCAAACAGATATCTGAAGTTAAACATAAAAATGTCTTGTTATGGTTTGTTCATATTTTTTCAGATTCAGTCAAAATTTGAACAGATCTAAACAATTAACAAAGACAACCATAAACCATAATTCGCCGCGAAACAAGTAAAACTTAGAGGAGCAGAAGATTCTCACTCCAGGAGGCAGGCCGAGCAGGACGATGAACATAAAGCAAACAAATCTTCTTGCCGGAGAAGTTACGCGCCGCCCACAACAGCGTCGTTTTGCTCCTCTCCACATCTTCCGCCACCGCCACGAAGATCGTCTCGTCCACATCTAAAGCCACTTCGTCTCCCCCGATACTCCCCATCTTTGATCTCTCTCTCTCTATCGATTTAGCTATCTACAACAAGCATCTGTTCGATTCCGTAATATAGAAAGTTGCTTTATTTAATGAAAAGTGGGAGTCGTAAGATTGGTTCCTCGAATTGGGAATCGTTTTATGGCTCGCTGACTCGGTTATGAGTCAACCGATTCCACCTAATTGGAATTTGGAAGATAAGAAAAAAAAAGGAAAGTGACCTTGTTCTCGATGAATA